TGCGGGCGACCTGGGGAGTGGTTGCAGGAGGTGGTTGTGGGGGGGGGGGCTGGGGAGTGGTTGGGGGGCTGGTTGCAGGGGCCTGGGGAGGTGGGGGGGCGGCTGGGGAGCGGGGTGGTTGTGGGGGTGGTTGGGATATGCTGAAGTGACACACATGTGCCCCCTCCCCCCAGAATAATGGAGCTGGGAGCCCCTGGGGTTGGTGATGCTGACACAGAAGCGCATTTGCTGGAGCAGCTTGTTTGGCTCTGGGACCTGGCCTGAGCAGTGTCCTGTTTAAATGCTATTTCTCTTGGGCTGGCATCAGGCGCATCTCTGCTAGGGCAGCATGGGCAGCAGAGCTGCGCTGGTGTCCAGCTCTGCCAGCGAACCCGTGCTAGTGTAGACGAAGCCTTACGCCAAAGTAATGAAGGGACTGGATTGTGACCAACACCTGCCTTTTGCTGGTGTGAAACTGGTTCAGGCAGTTTGACTCACACCTGTAAACTGAGCATCCACTCGCCCACCTGAGCATCCGCTTGCAAACTCTCATCAGTTCGATTGCACCTGTGTAAAATCCCATCCTCAGAGAGATCCTCGTGCCTCTGCCTGTGGGTCAGGCTGAAATTCCAGATCCCTAGGCCACCTTAGAGGGACAAAAAGGCTGTGAGCCAGGTCTTGTCTACCTTTAAACATGGCCATGCCAGCAGTGTTAAGGCAGCAAACCCCCCACCCAGTGTAGAGACAGCTCTGCTGGTATAAAAGGGTTTGTGCCGGGGAAGCGAAAGAAGCTCTCCTAGCATATCTTTTATACCACTTTTACTGTGGCTCCCGTGGGTTTTTTCTGCCATAAATGTCACACCCGTCACAGTCATAGCTCTGCCACTAAACCTTCTAGACCAGGGCTTTGCTTGAGCCCAGCGTACGTGGGTTAGACTGCAGGCTTGTGTGCACATGGACTTGTTCAGAATAGCTCTGCTATGAAAGTGGATTCAGTGATACAGGAACAAGCTAAAGTACTTCTATTGTCTTTCTGTCTCCAGAGTATCTGAGTGCCTGACAATCTTGAATGTATTTCTTCTCCCAGTGCTCCTGAGGGGCAGCGCAGTGCTAGTATGCCCTCTGTATGGGTGGGGAACTAAGGCAGAGAGGCTAAGTCCTCTGCATGGGACAGTCAGGAAAATTAATGTGAATTCATTTGAAGTGAATTAGTTAAACCACATTTAACCTAACTCACTTTGAAGTTAAAGTTAATTATGGCCACTTGAATGCTGAATAATACTATCCACACAGGAGTTGTGTGCAGTTTAGCAAATCCACTTTAAATTCACACTTGTAGTTAAATTGGATTAACTTTTCTGAGTGTCCCATGTAGACAAGCCCTTAGTGACTTGCCTCAGCTTCCACGGGGAGTTTCTGACAAAGCAGGGAATTAATACATGTGGAGAGCTGTTGTTGTAGTTTAAATTCTCCCTGCCTGAATCTGGATTAATTTTCAAACCTAGACAAATGCTAAAACCTTTGAAGGCACTATTTAGAGAATTCCTCCCAGTTCCCGCTGGCCAGAGCTCAACCAATGCCCGGCTTCCTAAAGCACCTTCCAGGAAGGTCTCCGGGCTGTCCCTGAAGCCCTCATGAGACGGAGATTCCACCATTTCCCTCAGGAGTTTGTCCTAGCGGTTAATTCCCCTCGTTGTTTAAAAAAAAACAAAAACAAAAACCAACAACACACCCAACAACAATGGTGCCTGATTTCCAACCAGAATGTGGCTGGCCCAGCTTCCAGTCCCAGGTTCTGGTGTGTGCAGGTGAGGCCGGCATGGTTGCCTGTGTCTGATTGGAAAGCCCCATTAACACCACCAGGGCTCCTTTGTTTCCCCCTCTCTGCTGCCTGGACCAGGTGCCAGTCACCCCATGTACAGGGCTGAATGCCTGTGGGCTGGGGTTTGCACAGAAACCAAGGAAACAGGCTGGTCTGCCCCCCTCCCCCACCAGCCCACATCTCTTCTCTCCCCCATAGTTCCCTGGAGGAAACGACAATTACCTGGCCATCACGGGGACGGCCCATCCCTTCCTGTCGGGGGCGGAGGTGAGATGGCATTGCGGCTGGGGGTGGAAAATGGGAGATGGATTTGGGGTGGGAGCGGAGCAGAGCAGGGTCTGCGGGAGGAGGCCCATGGATGGAGGCTGGAGCTGGCCCCTGGGGAGACCAGGGCTCACCTGGGAATGAGCGACTAGCAGAGGCAGAGAGAGGAAACCAAGAGGGTCACTGTGAGAGGGAGCTGTGAAGGAAACATTGCTGCCCCAGTGGGGACTTCCTGGGGTGAAGCAGGGGGGCTGGAGCCCAGACTCGGTCTTGGAGCCATGTGGCCGACTCTGAAGGAAGAGTGGGACCCCCTGGGGGTCTGGTTCACTGAAGGGGTTCCTCCGAGGGACGGTTTAAAAGATGGGGCATGGCACAGAACCTCTGGATCACTATGGGGCACCAGGGAGATGGGGGCTGGGCCCTGTCCAGGAGAGGGGGCAGGGGGGCACCAGGGTCATGGAGCTGGGCCCTGGCCGGGGGAGGGGGCAGTGGGGGGCACCAGGGAGATGGGGGCTGGGCCCTGGCCAGGGGAGGGGGCAGGGGGACACCAGGGAGATGGGGCTGGGCCTTGGCCGGGGGAAGGGGGCACCAGGGCACCGAGTTCAAGTCTCCGACCTCTCTGCAGACGTTCCACACCCCCAGCCTGGGGGATGAGGAGTTTGAGATCCCGCCCATCTCCCTGGACGCCGACCCCTCGCTGGCTGTCTCAGATGTGGTGGGGCACTTCGATGACCTGGGGGACCCCAGCAGCGCGCCCGACTCCGGCTTCTCCACCCAGTATGGCGTGCAGGCCCTCGACATGCCCGTGGGCATGAACCACGGCCTCATGGAGCAGGGCGGCGGGCTCCTGGCGGGGGGGCTGGCCATGGTGAGGGGCTGGGGCCAGGGCTGGGCAGGGAAGGGCGGGTTGCGTCGCAAGGCGCTGTAGTGCCTGGTTGTGGGGCTGGGAGGAGCCTGGGCCCCCTAGTGGCTGGCTGAGGATGTATGTGCCGGGAGGGCCAGGGCTGGTGCCCTCTAGCAGCAGGCTGGGGTATTGCAGGAGGCTGGTGCTGCGGGGGGGGGCTCCTCTGGCGACGGACAGTGCCCCCCAGCGCCAGCCCCCCAGCTTTGTGTCTGCCTCCCCAGGACCTGGATCACTCCATGGGCACCCAGTACAGCACCAACCCGCCCGTCACGATAGACGTGCCCATGAGCCCCGGTGCACTGATGGGGCACGGCCAGCTGACCACCATCGACCAGTCCGAGCTGAGCTCCCAGCTGGGCCTGAGCCTGGGGGGCAGCTCCATCCTGCCGCCCGCTGCCCAGTCGCCCGAGGAGCGGCTCTCCACCACGCCCTCCCCCACCAGCTCCCTGCAGGAGGACGAGCCAGAGGAGTTCAGACGGGTGAGATGCTGCTGCCTCCCCCTCCCCCCCCTGCGGGCAGCGCCAGGGCCCCTCGCTCCTGCTCGCCCCCTGCGGGCAGCGCCAAGGCCCCTCGCTCCTGCTCGCCCCCTGCGGGCACTGCCAGGGCCCCTCGCTCCCATCCCCCCACTGGGCAGTGCCAGGGCCTCCTGCTCCCCCCCCCCCGTGGGCAGCACCAGGACCCGTTGCGCCTGCCTTCCCCCCCCTCCCCCCCCGCGGGCAGCGCCAGGACCCCTCGCTCCTGCTCGCCCCCTGCGGGCAGCGCCAGGGCCCCTCGCTCCTGCTCGCCCCCTGCGGGCAGCGCCAAGG